TCATCATCATCGGGACACCATCATCGTCATCCTCACCATTATCATCATCATCAAGACACCATCATCATCATCATCAACAGCAGCATCATCAACCTCATCATCATCATCGGAGCACCATCATCATCTTCATCATCATCATCATCAACACCATCTCATCATCATCATCAACATCATCATGATTATCAACATCATCATCATCATCGGGACACCATCATCATCAGCATCATCAGCAACATCATCATCATCAACATCATCATTATCGGGGCACCATCATCATCACCACCAGCACCGTCATCATCATCAACATCGTCGACAGCATCATCAGCATCATCATCGGGACACCATCATCATCACCACCATCACCATCATCATCATCATCATCGTTAACATCATCAACATCATCATCATTATCATCATCATCATCATCATCATCATCAGCATCATCGGGACACCGACGGGACACCGGCGGGACACCGGCGGGACACCGCGCGCCACCGGCCCCCGAGCGGGACACCGGCGGGACACCGCGGGGCACCGGTTGCCGGAAGGGAGACTTTTGGTCCGGCCGCGCCTCAGCTACAGGAGACTTATCTCTCGCCCGCCCACGCAGCTTCGCCTCGCCCGCACGCACGGCACGCACGAACACGAAACCGAAACCGATTTCCCGGTAGGGGGGCTCTCCGTTCCACTTCGATCTCACCCCTCACTTCCGATATGTATGTATGTATATATATATATATACATACATATATCTGTATATATAATGTATTCTCCGTTCTAAAAAAAGAATCGCCCCCCCCCTTTTCCGGAGTTAACGGGACGCCCTTTCGCATTGCAATTTACATATGATTCTGCCCCGTCGTCCATTCTAAATATGAATGTGCTCTATCCCAGCCAGGCTGGTATCGCCCCCCCGCCAGCATCTGCAAAACATATGATGCGCGTACACTTCTTCATCTTGAGAAAACAAATTTCAATCATCCATGGCAAAAAAATACCACACGGTCATTACGCGCGCGTCCATGTCAAAATCGTACCAACACACCGTGTGTTTGCAAGCGTTGCACTTCAGCATAAAAACTTACTACAACGACCCAGTGGTTCTGCAACACAAAAATGTAAATGTCTTGTCCGGGCGCCCATGCTAAAATCATACAAAAACCATTGGATTCTTATGAATTCTGCCAAATCCAGCAATTTCATGTCACCGCGCGGTGCACCCGCGATAATCCTGTCATGCGCCGAGGGCGCGAATCCCTTGCAAAAAATACCACGCGGGCCACATGGGCGCACCGCCGCGCGCGCGTGACCAGTCTGACGGATTTGTTGAACTTTCGCGCGCGCGGATTTCCTTTCCAACCTTGTCAGTATCACCGCGATGCCTCATCGACAGATGGACATCAGCATCGCCAGCGTGTTTGCCATCGTTGGTGCCATCGTCGTAATTGTCGCAGACGTCGCCGACGTCATCGCGCACGTCCGGGTATCGTCGATATGTTCACCTTCATCATCGACTCACGGTGACGAGCATCGGGAGTGAGGATGTTACCATCGATGCCGTCATCGGTGGCGCCGCAGTCCCCCGCTTCATGAGTTCCGCCAAACAAGATGGGATGTTTGCGCGAGCAGTGGAGATGGCGACTTCAAGTTCAGCAGAGTGGATTGCACCACGTTGATTTTCCTGTCTAAAAACAGAATAGACTCTACCCCCCCGGCGTTATCCACCCTTTTCGGGCATGTAAATCATATACGATTCCGACCACATGTAAATCCAAAACATGAATTATGAATTTACACTATGTTTGAGGGGCCGGTATCGACCCCCCTGAGGTTCCCTTGTAAAAAAACTATACGCGGGGACACATTTTGTTTTAACATAACACTTGTTCATGAAACCCTTGCAAAAAAAAGGACGAAGTGCGCACGCGCGCGTCGTCGCGCGCGCATGCCGAAATCCTCCAAAAACCTTCGGTGTTGGAAGGATGTCGCAATCGAGTTTCCAAAAAACATACAAGCACACAGGGTTTCGCAACACTGATTTGCTAAAGAAGTTTGCGCGCGAGCTCTTGCGAAATCTTGCGAAAACCATGGGTTATCAAGATTTTCACAAAATGCTACAAAACGGGCTTCGCGCGCGCATGTCGAAATCAGTCGAACGCCCTTGCGCGTGTGCCGTCGCGAGAATCCTCTGCAAAAAACGGGACGAAGTGCAGACGCGCGCGTCGTCGCGCGCGTATGCCGAAATCCTTCAACACCCGTCGGTTTCGGAAGGATTTCAAAATCGTGTGTCCAAGCAATCTACAAAAATACAAGGTTTCGCAACACGGATTTTCAACAAAAGCGTGCGAGCGGGCTCTTGCGTCGTCGTCGTCGTCGTCGTTCTCCCTCCTCCCGCGTCGTCGTCACCTACGTCGTCCTCTGTCTTTCCTCGTGTTCGTCGTCGTCGTCCTCTTTGGCGTCGTGGTCGTTTCCGTCGTCGTTGTCGCCGTGGTCGTCTTTCCTCCTCCTCCCTCGTTGTCGTCGTCCGTCGTCGGCGTCTCGTCGTCGTCCCTCCTATTTCGTCGCCGTCGTCGTCGTCGTCGTCGTCGTCGTCGTCGTCGTCTTCCCTCCTCCCTCGTCGTTGTCGTCGTCGGCGTCGCCGTCCTTCCTCTCTTTTCGTCGTTCGCGTCGTCGCCGTCCTCCCTCCTCCCTCGTCGTTGTCGTTGTTGTCGTCGTTGTCGCCGTCGTCGTCCTCCCTCCTCCCTCGTCGTCGTCTTCGTTGGCGACGTCGTTGTCGTCGTCGTCGTCGTTGTCTTCGTCGTCGTCGTCGTCGGCGTCGTTGTCGTCGTCGTCGGCGTCGTCGTCGTCATCGTTGTCGTCGGCGTCGTCGTCGTCGGTGTCGTCGTCGTTGTCGTCGTCGAAGTCGTTGGAGACGTCGTCGGTGTCGTCGTAGTCGGTGTCGGCGGCGCCGTCGTCGTCGTTGTCGCTGTCGTGGTCGGCGTCGGTGTCGCGGCCAAGTGCCATGTGGTACCTACCGTCACGGTCTTGTCTTAAGAGGTCTTGCGACCAAGTTGCGGGTGGGAGGGTGGGATGTTTGCACGAGCAGTGGAGAGGACAGCTTCAAGACGGTCAAAGTGGACTGCACCACATAGATTGTTCCACCTAGATTGTACAGCGTACACTGCCAGAAGCACAGTTTGGGGTCCACGCTGGCTGACATATATGTATATATAAGCATAATCTATCAACGCACGTCTACATATAGCTTGCACTAATACAACGAGTAAATATCTAAAAAGAGAACTGATCCGGCCAGACCTTCGTCCCGCTGGGGGCCGCCGGGTTCCGAGCGCGCCTGGAGGGCCCAAGATGGCTCCTGATGGTTTCCAGACGGCCCCAAGCTGGGCTAAGAGCGTTACACGACGCCCACGATGGCCCAAGGACAGTCCCAGAGGCCCCCTTTTCGCCCCAAGACACCCCGAGAGGCCTCCCAAGGGAGCCCCAAGAGGCCAACATTGCCACATTCCCTTCGTAAAACGTACGCTTTCAACATCAACAGCTTCTCGCCTTCCCGGCGCTCTAAAAAGGCCCAATACGCCCCCCAGATCGCCCCAAGACGGCCCAAAAGGCATTCGAGAGGCCCCCACGACGGCCCAAGAGGGCCCCAAGACGGCCCAAGAGGCGCCCAAGACAGCCCCAGGGGGCCCCAAAACGGCCCCCGAGAGGCACCAAGGACACCCTACAGAGGCCCCCAACTTGCCCCAGCTCCCCAAGAGGCCCAAGAAAGGCCCCAAGAGACGCCACAACAGCCCCCAAGAGGGGTCAACACTGCTTCCAGAAATCACCGTGCAAGCCTCTTGGGCCCCCTGGATTAGTACGGCGACGGTCAGAGAATCGATATGTGTGCGTGTGTGCGTGTGCGTGTGCGTGTGCGTGTGCGTGTGCGTGTGCGTGTGCGTGTGTGTGTGTGTGTGTGTATGTGTGTGCGCGCGCGCGCGTGTGTGTGTGTGTGTGTGGTGCGTGCGTGTGTGTGTGTGTTGTGTATGTGTGTGTATGTGTGTATGTGTGTATGTGTGTATGTGAATTGAGGCCCTCCCAAAGGAGGCGAGCCGCAAGGCCTTTGGGAGCATCCGCTGGCGTTCCGTTCGGCGACTATCGTGGGTGTGGTTGGGTGCGCTGGGGTGTGGCTTACGATCTGCGCCGTGCCCCCATCGACTAGACGTAAGAGTGACCTTTCGCTGGAGTGACCTTTGGTGCGGACCCACGGGGGTCCCCGTATTGCCGAGCGCGGTGCGACGGTAGCGTCTTGCGCGCTCGTGTTTGGTTCCTTGGCGGCCCCGACAAAGCCGCGCACCAAAGGTCATTCTTACCCAGGGTCACTCCTGCGTGTAGCCGACCCCGCTTCGGAGGCGACGAGAGGGGCGAATAGCCCAGGGGGGGCAATACATGATTCCAGGGGCGCCGATGATCTATGCCTGCGGCGAGGCTCCTGGGCGAATGCGTGTAATGCCCGCCCCTGGGCTGTTCGCCTTTATCGTCGCCGCCGACACGTTTCCTTGCCGTGAAGAACTCGCGGCGGGAGGCTTTTGCTATAGTGTTCGGCCTCCGGGGGCTCTCGCCGGGCCCGAGGACCGTCAAACGACAGCTCGGGATGAATTGGTCGTGGGGAGTGAGTGCAGACCTCCGGGGGTGCACGTTGTCCGCGCGGGCCTGTTGCCCACACTGGTCACCGGGACCATCAAAAGTAATCGTGAGGAGGAGGAGGAGGAGGAGGAGGAGGAGGAGGAGGAGGAGGAGGAGGAGGAGAGGGAGGAGGAGGAGGAGGAGGAGAGGGAGGAGGAGGAGGAGGAGGAGGAGGAGGAGGAGGAGGAGGAGTTTTGGAGTGCCAGGTCGCGCCAAAGGTCTGGTGAGCCCTCGTCGGTGCGCGGCGGAGAAAACTCTGTCGAGGTCCCCACCCGCTCCCCAGGATGCGGGCTGCAGATCGCACCCCTCGCAGGCCACACCGTCCGAGTCGCCGAAAGGAGGCGGGCCAGAAGGCCTTGGCGGACATCTATTGGCGCTCCTTCGGCAGTCAGTCTCACGAGCACTCGGTGCTGTGCGGCAGCGACTGCAGGCAGCGGGCCATTGTGTCCCGGCACGCGCTCTGATGTGGAAGCCTGGGGCCACTGTTTACTTCTGTCCTGTTCAGCGGATCAAGGTCTGTTTGTTGGCGGCTGACCTGGGTTCCTGGGGAGGCGAGGGAGGATACGAAACACACGAAAGGCAGTTCCTTGACTGGGGGTTTTTGAGCACATGAAGTGTTGTGACGTCGGGAGGCGGCGACGGGGCGGCGATGTTAGCGAGCTTGGTTTCTTTCGTAGACAGCATAGATGCCAGCTGGCACGCTCAAGCACTGCCCCACCAAGTTTCGTCAGGCGGCAGGCGCCCGTAGCGGCCGCTAGCATACGCACGGCAAGATCATATGCTCGTGACACGTCGTGCAACAATGTTCGTCTATGTTTTACCGGGGAGCGAATGCTCATTCCGTTTTATTTGCGGTTCACTGGCGCGTTACATGGAGTGTTTCAGCGCGCATTACTGCCGTTTTTACTTGCCACGCAGATCCGCCGGTATGCACAACTACGCGCAGGAGCCGTGGCAAGCTTCCAGTCCCGACCGGATTCTTTACATGCGTAAAGCCCTAGGTGGAGCCAGCTCAAAAGCGATAGCGCAGACATTGATAGGAAAGAGAAGATAGCCAACACGATGTCGGACAAATTCTATCCTTGGAGGGAGGGGCATGCATGTCGTACAGTTTCGGCCTCTGGAGCATACCGCTCTCCAGACCCGGTTTTGACGGTTCGTCTGTTACATATTTGGCAACACGTCTTGAGGTCGTAGTACAATGTGTGGACTACGACGGGGCAGTTTCGTGGTTTGTACAGACCAAAGCCACGTGCCTGGTTGCCATGTGTAAAGATCTTAGGTCAGTGTGTTCCCTTGGAACAGCATGTTCGGATCGACAGGTTGGCCTATCATCCACATTGGTGCGGCACGTGCGCAACATGCGTCACAGATGTGCCGCCACTGTATATGGCAACCCTCATGCGAGCGGGCTTGTGCGCATTGGCTGATCTTCTCTCGCTGAGGGGATGAAGCTGTTCAGGACCTCTGAGGCGTAATTCTTTGCGCAGGCAACTTCTCGTTCGGCCTCGACAGGCTCCCGCCTTGGCTGAGCACGTTTCTGTTGCTTCTCGAGCCCCTAGCATCTGAATCGGGCGCACGCCCACTCAGCACGACTATCTGCACTTTGTTGCTGCGCGCCAGGCCAGAATTGGTTGGTGCTGCGCCTGCGCCCGCATCCACACTTATTGAGTTAGTGTTGTTCGAGGCCATGCGCAAGTTATGATACTTGCCACGAGCATTGCGCCCACGGTCGTCCACGACGCTCGCGGTTACGTGCTAACGCACGCGAATCTGAATTCGCATCGGACGCGAGGCCCGCGTGTGAGTTACGGATATTTCGCCACCTTGTACGGCAATTTTAATTCAAGCGGGCTTGTGCGCATTGATTCATCTTGCTCCGCTCAGGGAAAGCAGTTGTTCAGGATCTCTCAGTCGCAGCTTGTTGCGCAGGTCACTTCCCATTAACCTTTGACAGGCTCCCTCCTTGGCTGGACACATGCCTGTTGCATCTCGAGCCTCTGGCATCGGGATCGGGCGCACGCCCACTCAACAAGACTATCTGCAATATGTTGCTGCGCGCCAGGCCAGAATTGGTGGGTGCTGCGCCTGCGCCCGCATTCACATTTTTTGAGTTGGTGCTGTTCGAGGTCATGTGCAAGTTATGATACTTGCCGGGGACTTTGCGCCCAAGGTCGTCCACGACGCTCGCAGTTACGTGCTAACGTACACGAGACTTGTTTCGCATCCACTTGTTGCAGCGCGCCAGGCCAGAAATCGGTGCTGCGCCTGCGCCCGCATCCACACTTTCTGAGTTGTTGTTGTGGTTGTGGTTGTTGTTGCTGTTGTTGTTGTTGTGGTTGTTGTTGTTGTGGTTCTTGTTGTTGTTGTTGTTGTGGTTGTTGTTGTTGTTGTTATTGTTGTTGTTGCTGTTGTTGTTTTTGTTGTTGTTAGTGCTGTTAGTGTTGTTGTTATTGTTGTTGTTGAAAGCGCGCCACTGGGTGCCCGGTAATTGAAAAGGGTGGGGGTGTTCGCAGACCCCCGCCCCCTCCCTTCAAAGGGGGGCTGAGATTTTCGGACCCCCCCCCCCCCCGTAAAGAGATTTTCGGACCCCCCCTTCAAAGGGGGGCTGAGATCCTCTTGAAAAGCGGCGCAAAAGCATTCTAATTGTAATCTACACAATAGAAATGAATGTGTAAATCGCCCACAGAAGGAACTTCTGTACATGGAGGCCAGAAAAAGTTGGGGATCCGCGGAACCAAATAAAACAATCAATAACATAAAAGCATCGCGCCCTCAATTTTCTATGATTATTTTTCGGGGCCCTGGCTGGGGGGGGAGGGAAAGATGGAGGGGAAGATGGTTTCCTGTTTTCTCGGTTGAAATCTATACAAGAGGAATATATTTGCAAATCGCCCGCAAAAGAAATCCGAGTGAAAAGCCGCACAGAAGGATTCTATGTGTAATCCACACAACAGAAACTTTGCTTGTAATACGCTCACAAAGAATTCCGATTGAAAAGCCGCGGAAGAGGATTCCAATTCTAATCTACACAATAGAAATCAATGTGCAAATCGCCCACACAAAGAATTTCTTTAAATGGAGGCCAGAAAAGTGTTTGGATCTCCAGGGGAACAACACATCCCCCCTTCCATGAGTTGCTTCTGGTTTTTTTTTTTTAGGGGGGGGGGGCGGGGTTGGCGAAAGCAACAAAAAAACAAAAAGAAAATGGCGGGGGCGATGTGTTTCCGTCCGGAGGGTTTAATTTCTTTTCCTGGCTCCTTTTCAAGGGAAATATGTTTGACAAAATGGTTCTTATTGTTTGTATTGCAAATGAAATCTTTTTACGCGGCCGTGGGCGATTAAAGAAAGGATTATGGTGCGGCTTTTCTATAGGATTCCTTTTGTGGGCGATTTACAACTTGAGCTCTATTGCGTGGATTCCACATCGAGATCTTTTTGTGCAACTTTGCAATGCCATTTCTTTTGTCGGGATTTACTCATTGACTTCTAGTGAGTGAATTCCAACTAGAACCCCTGCGTGTGACTTTCCAGTGTTTTTTCCCGCTGGAGACTTACATGTGGAATTCTAGTGTGTGGTTTTCCACTTCTTCGGAATATTGTATTACAGGCGGCTTGCATTTTAATCCTGTCTTTAGAAGTATATCGCATCCACTTCTAATTTAATTCCATGAGCAGGGGATTCACCCCTAATAGGATTCTATTACAGGTGGCTCAGTTCCCCATATGATTCGAATTGAAGTGGACCCACATATAATAAGATTATGCCCCCCGCGCTTCCATCCTTCATGGAGGTCCATTGGCGGTGGATCCACTTCCAATGGGATTATAGTCTAGGTAAACCTACATTGTATGCAGTTCACTTACCCGTGACTCCGTCCATAACAGGATCTCAGTAGAGGTGGATCTACCTCTCATGGGATTCTATGAGAGCTGAGTCCTGCCTTGATCGGATTGTATTACATGTTGTTTCCTCTTTAATCGGATGATGTTAGAGGTGGTTCACCTCAAACAGGATTCACTTGGCAAGCGATCCATCCCTGATAGGGGTGATCGTAGATATGGCCCCGCACGGCTTTCCAGGTCACCAAAATGTTGGCAGAGCTTAGCAAGGCCAGCAGGTGTTAGCAACCATTGGCAAGTCTCAGCAGGGCAGATCAGGGGCTAGCAGAGCCTAGAAAGGGGTTGATCGGGTTTATCATGGTTTCGCTGGGCCTGGCAGGTGGCTCGCATAACTTACCGAGGCTTAGCAGAGGGCCAGCATGGTTTAGCCGCGCTTAGCACTGTTCGGCAGGGCGCGGCTAGACATAACAGGGTTTAGCAGGGGCCAGCAGGGCACAGCACGGCATCGCAGTGGCTAGCAAGGCTCAGCCGAGGAAGGCGTAGCAGCGATTGGCGGGGGCTGAGCAGTGGTTTAGGAATGATTCGATTAGAGGCGGCTCCATTCCCTATAGGTTTTAAATAGAAGAGCATCCACAACCAGTACAGTTGTACTCCAGGTGCTTCCATCCTTCATGGAAGTCTTTGGGAGGTGGATCCACCTCTAAGAGGAGTACATTAGATGCGAATCCACACTGCTTGCAGTTCAATGGCCCGTGACCCTGTCCATCACAGCATCCCAGCAGAGGCGGATCCATTTATCATGTGATTAGATTCGAGTTGGGTGGTCCCTTGTTCGGATGGTATTACGTGGTGTTTCATTACCTAACAGCGAAGACTGGTAGGTTTCTAGTAGGGTCAAAAGAGAGCATCATGACTCCCCAGGGGGGTCCGGGCAGGATCCGGGGGGATGCCAGGGAACTCGTTTTAAGCAAACAGTAGCGCACTTTGTGGTCTTCGAGTTCCCAGAACTCCATTCATGGGCATGATTTTGAATGCCCGGAGCCGTAGGCCACTTCGTGTTCTTCGTGTTCCCGGAACACCATTCCTGGGCATGATTTTGAATGCCCAGAGCCAGCTGTAGGCCATTTCGTGTTCCCAGAACACCACTCCCTGGCCACATTTTGAATGCCCGGAGCCAACTGTAGGCCACTTCGTGTTCTTCGTGTTCCCAGAACACCATTCCTGGGCATGATTTTGAATGCCCGGAGCCAGCTGTAGGCCGCTTCGTGTTCTTCGAGTTCCCAAAACTCCATTCCCGGGCCACATTTTGAATGTTGAGGCAGGCTGATGCTGAGGCTGGGGCAGGCTGAGGCTGAGGCCGAGGCTGAAGGCAGACTGAAACTGAGGCTGAGGCTGAGGTAGGCTGAGGCTGAGGCTGGGGCAGGCTGATGCTGAGGCAGGCTGGGGCTGAGGCTGAGGCTGATGCAGGCTGAGGCTGAGGCAGGCTGAGGCTGAGACCGAGGCTGAAGGCAGACTGAGGCTGAAGCTGAAGCAGGCTGAGGCTGAGGCTGAGGCTGAGGCTGAGGCTGAGGCTGAGGCTGAGGCTGAGGCAGGCTGAGGCTGAGGCTGAGGCAGGCTGATGCTGAGGCAGGCTAGTTCCCAGCATTCCATTCCCGGGCCACTTTTTGAATGTTGAGGCAGGCTGAGGTTGAGGCTGAGGCAGGCTGAGGCTGAGGCAGGCTGAGGCTGAGGCCGAGGCTGAAGGCAGACTGAGGCTGAGGCTGAAGCAGGCTGAGGCTGAGGCTGAGGCAGGCAGGCTGAGGCAGGCTGATGCTGAGGCAGGCTGAGGCTGAGGCTGAGGCTGATGCAGGCTGAGGCTGAGGCTGAGGCTGAGGAGGCTGAGGCTGAGGCTGAGGCAGGCTGAGGCTGAGGCTGAGGCAGGAGGCTGAGGCTGAGGCAGGTGAGGCTGAGGCAGGCTGAGGCTGAGGCTGAGGCTGAGGCTGAGCAGGCTGAGGCTGAGGCTGAGGCAGGCTGAGGCTGAGGCTGAGGCAGGCTGATGCTGAGGCAGGCTGAGGCTGAGGCTGAGGCTGATGCAGGCTGAGGCAGAGGCAGGCTGAGGCTGAGGCCGAGGCTGAAGGCAGACTGAGGCTGAGGCTGAAGCAGGCTGAGGCTGAGGCAGAGGCAGGCTGAGGCTGAGGCTGACGCAGGCTGATGCGGAGGCAGGCTGAGGCTGATGCTGAGGCTGAGGCAGCCTGAGGCTGAGGCAGCCTGAGGCTGAGGCCGAGGCCGACGGCAGACTGAGGCTGAGGCTGAGGCAGGCTGAGGCAGGCTGAGGCTGAGGCTGAGGCTGATGTAGGCTGAGGCAGAGGCAGCCTGAGGCCGAGGCCGAGGCCGACGGCAGACTGAGGCTGAGGCTGAAGTAGGCTGAGGCTGAGGCTGAGGCAGGCTGAGGCTGAGGCAGGCTGAGGCTGATGTTGAAGCAGGCTGAGGCTGAGGCTGAGGTTCATGCAGGGTGAGGCTGAGGCAGGCGGAGGCGGAGGCCGAGGCTGAAGGCAGACTGATGCTGAGGCTGAAGCAGGCTGAGGCTGAGGCTGAGGCAGACTGAGGCTGAGGCAGGCTGAGACTGAGGCTGTGACTGCGACTGCTGTTGCCACTGCGACTGTCATCGCGAATGCGACTACGACTGCGAGAACAGCAGAATTCTACAAGTGGCTTCTCATCTGAATATTAAGGGGAATGCTTCCAGATGTGCTCCTACACATCGTTGTTAGGTTACTTTGCCGGGATACTTTTTAACGCGATGTGTTAGAGGTGGGTCCACCCCTGACAGGCTTTGATGAGCAGTGTGTGCATCACTGATGAGATTGGATTGGATGTGGCTCCGCATGGTTTCGCAGGCATCGCATGGCTTAGTCGGGCATCGAGGTGCTGGCAGAATTTGGCAAAGCTTGCGGGTGCTGGCAAATATTGGCAGGTCCCAATAGGGCGTATCAGGGGCTAGGAGGGTTTAGTAGTGCGTATCACGGCTTAGTTGGGCATGGCATGTGGCCAGCCGAATGTACCAAGGCATAGCAAAAGGGCCATATTGTTTAGCTTTGTAGCAGGGTTCGGCTACGCCCCGCTTGGCTTAGCATGGGGCCAGTGGTCGGAGTAGATGTTGCCGTAGTAGTAGTAGTAGTAGTAGTAGTAGTAGTAGTAGTAGTAGTAGTCGTAGTCGTAGTCGTAGTCGTAGTCGTAGTCGTAGTCGTAGTCGTAGTTCGTAGTAGTAGTAGTAGTAGTAGTAGTAGTCGCAGCAGCAGTAGTAGTAGTAGTAGTAGTAGTAGTAGTAGTAGTAGTAGGAGTAGTAGTAGTAGTAGTAGTAGTAGTAGTAGTAGTAGTAGTAGTAGTAGTAGTAGTAGTAGTAGTAGTAGTAGTAGTAGTAGTAGTAGTAGTAGTAGTAGTAGTAGTAGTAGTAGTAGTAGTAGTAGTAGTAGTTAGTAGTAGTTA